TTACGTGGAAAACGCGAAGAGGAAAAAACCACGGGGCCTCGCCCAGGTGAAAAGATTCAACTAAAATTGAGTGAATTACAAGGCTTGACCTGTCCCTCAATTTAGAGGTGGTTAGATTACAGTAATTTGAAGAGCTAGTCAAAGGACCAATGACGGTCAGACGAAAATCCGACGGTTTTAGTGTAGAAGTTTGGTTGATAAGGAACGATCTGATGAAGGTCTGACAATGAACGGCAGCTGGACGGTAGTCCGGCGATGGCCGGACTGAAGTCCAACGGTGGTCGACGACCGGGCGGTGGTTCGGCGATGGTCGGCGGTTAGGTGGTGGTCCTACGAAGGTCGAGCAAAAGTCCGGTGGCGATCGGGCGGTGGTCAGACCAAGGTCGGGCTGAAGTCCGGCGGTGGTCGTCGGCCGGGCGGTGGTCGCGGTCGGCAGCCGGGCGGTGGTCCGACGTAGGTCGGGTTGATGTCCGGCGGTGGTCCGACGTAGGTCGGGCTGAAGTTTGCGGCGGTCGGCTGACGTGCAGTGGTCCGGCGGCGGTCGGCATCCGCGCGGTAGTCTGACGGCGGTTGGGAGCCAAGCGGTAGTCCGACGTAGGTCGGGCTAAAGTCCAGCGGTGGTCGGCGGCCGGACGGTGGTCCGACGAAGGTGGTCGGCGACCAGGCGGTGGTGCTAGAGCTCTTGAAGCTTTAGAGCTCTCCCAAATCACTAGCCCCGTACCCCCTCATGTAGAGAGTGTGGGTCTATTTATAGATTTTCATGAGTGGCACACCCCATAAATCTAGAGAAGATCCGAGGCAGGTTCAGAGTGCTCCATCGTATGGCTCGTATTGACTCCCCCGATCGTAGAGAGTTTTTCAACTGTTTATGTGCCTTAACAATGTCGGAATTCAGAGATCTTAGGCTCGTTGGATTCATCTCGTCGAGACGCTCGATTTGAATATAAGCATGTCATATTTAGATATCATTTCATCATCCAAATAATTCTTTGATCCTTCCAAACATGGTCCGGGCCCCGATTCAGACCCATTGGTGCTTGGGTTGGATCAATTTTGGTGTTGTTTGGTTCGCATCTTTGAGATGCTCAATTTGACAATAAGTTTGTTGAAGTTTGAATTCAGATGATCACAAATTTAATTTTGAAAGTTTCCAACTTGAATATGCCTCGAGATTCGTGCTTGATGAAGGCAATTTTTGGTCGACGTATCAATTATAAATCTAAGACATTTAAATTACATTAATTGTAATACAAATTTGACAATTTTTAAATTGATATAATTTATATTAGAATATTTTGTTGTAAAAAAATTTAATATACATTTGAATTTATTTATTTATTCATTTTAATTTAAATAAAATAATTTTTTAATTTTGAGATTTATTACAATTAAAAATTCTATAAAATTATTAAGGATTTTTTTTTTCTAAAATACAAAATCTGAACGTTCAGACGACACCAAATTGGACCGCTAATGTGCCCAATCCCGAACTCGTTGAAAAACTCTGTCGACGGGCGCAGTCCCATTTTGACTTCAACGTCTAAATAATCCGAATAATAACGAAAATGCCCCTTCTTTAGATCCAAAGCGCTCCCTCTCAAAGCGAGCTATTTAAGTGAATAATTGCTACGTAATCTCTAATAAATCCGATTAATTAGTTTTAACTTTTGAGCAGAATTTTCAATAAAATCTGCATCCCAATAAATGAGTAAAAATTTGGCAATTGGCGGAATGGACGGCCCTGATGAAGCGAGAACTGTTTTCGTTGACCAAAATAATAGAAATAATTTAATAATAAGATGAAATTAGCTGGAAAAGCGTAATCTTCACCGTTACGATTGTCGTTCTTCCCGTTTTCTAAAGTAATTATATAATTAGATAAAAAACGGACCGTTGACTACAACTACCGATCGGTGTACGACCGTTAATTTTAAAGCTAATTTAGGTTAATTACTTTTATTTCCAAGTTGTTTTCTCGCCCTATCATCTGTATTTTCTTAGGCGAGCGAGAAAAAAAGAGCACAGTATATGTATCTCATAGTTTGACGTTAATATTCACATATTATTTTTTTTAATATGAAAATTTGGTTAAATAAAATATGAGAAAGAATATATACTGAATATTTTTTTTATTTTTTATGTTAGAAAATGGAAAAATTATTCTTTGCGGACGCCGAACACCTTCCAGAGACCAATCAAAATCCAGACGTTTAGTTGTCCTGCCTCTTCACAGATTAATCTCTCTAGAAAATTAAGCTTGGTTGGAGATGAGTTACTGCATTTTGGAGTATTATTGAATTTAGGAGTGGAAATTAAGTTTTTCGTTTGAGTGGCCTTAACAGGTGGGTGTGCTCCGTTATTTTCAATTCCATTCAATCCTTGTAATAAACCTAAGACTTTATTTGTGATAGCTTTATTATTGCTTTCTACTATAAACATTTCTAGTTCAATAATTTTTGTACTAAAAATTGTTTTAAAAAATAGTAAGAGAATTGTCTTAAACAAAACCTAAATTTGAAAAGCAAAACATGCATCTAATGTTTATAGTTGGAATCTATAGTTATCCTTATTGTTGTGGCCTGGAATATTTGTGAAGGTAGAGACATAAGTTTAGTGACATAGCTTTGTATGAAAATTCAGAACAAAAACAAATTAAAGAGTAAGGTGCATCATGCATAGAATACTCCAAGATTTTTACATGGGAAATCTTGAAATTAGAAAAAAAATAAGTGGCCTAGCCTAGCTTGAATGAATCCACAAGTATTGATGATTGATAACAAATGATGTCTCTCTTTGGAGGAGATTGTCGGCTTAATATAGCAAATACATCTTACATGGAGCGCATTATATGGTAGCACTTAAGAGAGTTTTGACATATTTATTTTATCAGTAGGATCATAGTCGGCGGGCGACAATCGTCAGAAGGATCGTAGTCGGCGAACGATGGTGGTCAAATGTATGTTGGGAGTGTTTCATCATATGACATATATTAGTTCCCTTGATCATAGAGGGTTTATTGAGCATTTGAGTGTTTTAACGACATCATAATTGAGTGACCTTGGGCTCGTTGGATTTCCCAATAATTAAGGATTTTAATTTCTTTTTGAAAAAATATAAATTTGAAACAATATTTTTACAATTTTTTTGCTCAAATCAAATTACCTTTCACTTAATTTAATTAGGAGCTATTATATTTTCCTTCTTATTATTATTTTTTCAAATTAAAGTCAAATAAGCTAAGCTTGAAAGCAGTCAAATAATTATGCCAACTTATTTGGGCCATCTTTTTTACCCACTAAATGAATTAATCCCACTTAATGCTTAATTTAGCTTAATTTAAGCCCAAATCAAATGATACCAACAATGATGATTCAAGTCTAACTTGAAATAGGTATTTTGATGAGTTAATATATTAAATTAATAAAAATACAATATAAATTTATATTATATTGTAAAGTTTTTTTTTATATCTTTCCATCTATTTCTCCCTCTTTTAATATATGTGCTTACTTTCTCTCATTATTTTTCTTTTTCAACTCTCTATTTCTCTTTGCTTACACACTAAGCTTAAGCAATCCTATTCTTTCTTTTCATCAAATCGACATGCAAAATAATTCACTTTTCTTCCATATAAAAGCACCTTTTCAAAACTTCAAATCAAATTTAATTTCAAATATTTTTCTAAGCATATTATGATATTTTTTAAGATAATATAAAATATTTGTCTTCTTATGATGTAAATTAATATTTTGTAAATTCTGCTATTCATATTTGTTTGATGTCTTGGGTGAATTATGTTCCCATTAGGGGTGTAAGTCAGCAGTCGACTCATGAGTCAGTTCAGGTTCGAGTCTATAAATGGCCCATGAGCAGAGCTCGATGAGCTAACGAGTCAAATTTGAGCCAACTCCGACTCGACCAGTAACTATAGGAAAAATGCTAATTACCATCAGATTTTTCTGGAGAGCATCCGGTGAATTATTTTTTCATTGAATTTCCGGCAAATTGTGATGAAATATTTCTGATTGATTTTCTGACAGATTTTCTAAGGGCTTTTCCGACCGATTTAAAAAATTTCTGAAAAAATCATATATTTGTAATTTAAAAAGATTTATTAACTAATTAAATATTTGAAATAAACTAATAACATTAACTAGTTTAAATTGTCTATTTGAATATTTAACTAAACTGATTAACTAATAAAGTAAATTAAATTAATTAAATAAGTCATATTTATTTTAAATTAATTATTACTTTTAATATTCTATGGAGGGAGCACGGTTTGAACCCTCATGCAATCGCGGGCTGATGAGCGAGTTCGGGTGGGCTGGCAGGTTAGACATGAGCGGGTTAGCATGGCAGGGGGTGCTGGCGGGGCACAAGCGGGCTGGCAAGGGCGGGTGCTGGCGGGCAGTACGTTGGCTGGCATGGCAAGAGTAGGCAGTCAAAATTATATCTCAAATTTGTTATATTAAGTAATTATTTATTATTCTTTTTATAATTTCTTTTTCTTTTTACTATTTTATTATAAGAGTTGCTTAAATCATAATTTTTTTTATCTCCTTCTCTTAGTAAGCCTTTACTCTTGTATAAAACTTGAGCTCCAACTCAAACTCGATTAAAATAATCTATATTAAAATATTTGGATATATAATTTTATATGAGAGTGAGATTATTTTTTATCATATATTTTTAATTTAATATTTTCTGTATTATATTTTAATATAATTAAAGTTAAATAAATACATTTAAGAATAATTAATAATTTATAACAAGTTTATTTAATATTTTAATTGATAATTTAATATTTTAATTATATTAAAAATAAAATATGACACGTGAAATTATATATATATTCGATAAAAATAACTTTATTTTAATGCAAAACAGAACAATGTACATTAATAGCAATTTTTATTCGATAATCATGCAAAAAAAATTCTAGCTTAAACTTGCCAATATTTTCTTTCTTATTCTCAGTTTATGCACCCAAATCCTTTTTTACAAAATATATAGAAAATTTGGAAGTCTTCAGAGGCAGCTCTTCCATATATTGCAGACTTGCAGAACGCATCTTCCCCAACTACTCTACACACCTACCACCGGCCATCGCCGGCGAGCTCCTACCTTCCCAGTACTAAAGCTTCTCATTCTATCTCTCCAACAACAAAAAGAATAAAGAAAAATCTACAACCATGGCAGGTGCCGCTAAACCTCACCAAAAACGCATGATCAACCTCACAACTCTCACCCTCGTCGCCATGCTCTGCTCCGCTTCCTACCTCGCCGGAGTTTGGCAACAAAACGGAAAAACCTCTGCCTCCATCGCCTGCGACAACGCCCCCTTAACCAACTCCCAAGTTACATCTCCTCATCTCGACTTCACCGCCCACCACGCCGCCGACAATTCAGCCGCACTTTCTCAGCCGACTCACTACTACTCGCCTTGCTCCGCCGACTTGTCGGAGTACACGCCTTGCGAAGACGTGCGGCGTTCGCTCAAGTTCCAGCGCGACCGCCTTATTTACAGGGAACGTCATTGCCCTGAAAAAGGCGAGATTTTGAAGTGTTTGATTCCGGCGCCGAAGGGATACAGGACTCCGTTTCCTTGGCCGGCGAGTAGAGAACTTGCTTGGTTTGCGAACGTTCCGCACAAGGAGCTTACTGTTGAGAAGGCGGTGCAGAACTGGATACAAGTTGAGGGCGAAAAGTTTCGATTCCCTGGTGGGGGAACTATGTTCCCTAACGGTGCCGATGCTTATATTGATGATATCGACCGGCTTATTTCGCTTAGCGATGGCTCGATTCGGACTGCCATTGATACAGGATGCGGGGTAAGCTGCTTTCATTGTTAATTCCTTCTGCTAGAAGATGGGATTTTGGTGTTAAAAGACTAATTTTGAGACTTTTAATTAATGATATGCCATAGGTGGCGAGCTGGGGAGCTTTTCTTTTATCCAGGAATATCTTAGCCGCATCTTTCGCGCCGAGGGATTCTCACGAAGCGCAGGTGCAGTTCGCTCTCGAGCGCGGTGTGCCGGCATTGATCGGAGTTCTGGCTTCAAATCGCCTTCCTTACCCCGCCCGCGCCTTCGACATGGCGCACTGCTCGCGGTGTCTTATCCCCTGGCATCAATATGGTACTGGAATCAACTATTAAAATTTGCCCCTTTTTTGTTTTGTTTTGTTTTTTCTTTTCATCTCTGCTCTGAAAGTTTGTAGAATTGGTTAGTACTGAACTGGTTGATCATGCAATTGAGCAGATGGGCTTTACTTGATAGAAATCGATAGAATACTCCGGCCAGGTGGGTACTGGATTCTATCAGGCCCGCCCATCAATTGGAAGCGGCACTGGAAGGGATGGCAGCGAACTCAAGAAGACCTGAACGAAGAGCAAAATTCCATTGAATCTGTCGCCCGTAGCCTTTGCTGGAATAAGATAAAGGAGAAGGACGACATCGCAATCTGGCAAAAGCCCGCCAACCATGTACACTGCAAAGTCAACCGCAAGATCATTAAAACTCCACCTTTTTGCTCTACCCCCAATCCAGACTCCGCCTGGTACACAAAGATGGAACCTTGCATCACTCCTCTCCCTGATGTCACCGGTACCAATGAAATTGCCGGCGGCGAGCTCAAGAAATGGCCCGAGAGGCTCACGGCCGTGCCGCCTAGGATCGAAAGCGGCAGCGTTAATGGCGTTAATGCCGACAGCTTCCTGCAGGACACTGAACTATGGAGGAAGAGGATCGGGCATTATAAGATGGTGATCCCACAGCTTGGACAACAGGGGAGATATCGCAACGTGCTCGACATGAACGCGAAGCTCGGTGGCTTCGCTGCAGCGCTCATTGAAGAACCGCTATGGGTGATGAATGTTGTTCCGACGGCGGCGAACGCCGACGCCGACGCTCTAGGCGTCGTTTATGAGAGAGGATTGATTGGAACATACCAAGACTGGTTAGTTTTTTGCTCTTTAACTCCGAATTTGTTCTCATAAAAATGAAAAATTGACAAGAATTATAATCCGTTCTTTCGTTATTGCAGGTGCGAGGCGATGTCAACTTATCCAAGGACCTACGATCTTCTCCATGCCGATTCCCTGTTTACACTCTACAAAGAGAGGTAATTAATTCAAGAATGATTAATCCCTATGCAACAGCGATATTGAGCATTACAGCTAGAAAAATCAAATTTTGCGCTCATAAAAATAAAATCAAGGCTAAAAATTCCGATGATCCGAGCCTTCTAACTGTTGAATTGCAGGTGCGAGATGGAGAATATACTACTGGAGATGGATAGGATTCTGAGGCCCGAAGGGACGGTGATCATAAGAGATGACGTGGATTTAGTGGTGAGGATTAAGAGCATCACTGATGGGATGAGATGGAAAAGCCAGATAGTAGACCACGAAGATGGGCCCCTCCAGAGAGAGAAGCTTCTCTTGGCTGTTAAGACCTACTGGACTATAGACGACAAGAGCCAAGAGGAATCTTCCTGAAAAAGGAAGAAAGATAAAAAAGATTAGGCTGTTTTGTTTATTGTTTTATTTTAATTTGTTTAATATTAATCAGTTATAATATTGGTAATTGGTGTCATTTTAATGTAATTAGGCCATAGCCTTATATGGATACTACACAATTAATTCATTCTCAGCACATTCATTCCGTTTAGTACATATATTCATAAATTTAAGCTATTTGATCATATAAAATATGTATTTCTAAATTTATTATATATGATTATATGACATTAATTTAAATGTTTCTTTGTGCTTTATAACAAAATTTTCAGTTCAAAAAATTTTGTGATAAAAAGTTGCTATAGAAAATAATAAAAAAATTATCCCAAATGAAATCTTAAAGTAATCATATGCATTGATTAACAAATAGCAATATAGAAATATTTTTCAGTTCATTTAAATATTATTTATATTATTACAAATAAGATAGTAATCAATTGTTATTCACTTCATTTCTTCGTTTTTTCATATGATCTTTCTAAATTTTAAACTTTAGATCAATTTCGGTTTGTTTTCAAATTGCGTGTCTACTAGAAATGGAAACCAACCCATTAGGCTAGCTCTAAATATTGTAAGAATAATAATTTATGATATAAGAAATGAATCACATTAGAGAGAGTCGCCTTAGATTGTTTGGTCACATTAAACGAAGGCCTTCCGATGACCCGGTTAGGAAAGTTGAGGCATTAAATTTGACTTATATTAAGAAAGCTAGGTAGAGGTAGACTTAAAAAGACTTGGTTAGAAAATATTAGAAATGATATTTCTTTATTAGATTTAAATGATAATTTGACTTAACATGACATAATGATGAAAAAGGATTCATGTAACTGACCCCACGTAGTGGGGCAAAGGCTTGATGATGATGATGATGATGATGATGTTGTTGTTGTGGTATAAGAAATTAATCAAATTGATCAATTAATGAGATAATTTTGCAAAGCTCTAATAAAGATGAATGACTTGACTACCCTAACAATTAAGATTCGTTGGAATAATACATATATGCATAATCTACATTAGCTTAATGGTTAGATGTTTTGGTTATATTAGATTTATATGGAATTTGATTGTGTCGATCATTAGGTAGTACTATTGTCTTCAACCTCAAGCAGAGGGGCCTCCCTCTACATGGGTTTAGGGCTTTGCTCTCAAAAAAAATTTCCCCCCAAACAATCGCATTTTTTTTTTCATTCCAAAACATGATTTTAGTACTCTATTTTCATGTCATATAAATTCATATCATACATATCATATAAATAAAATACTATATTTTTTATTTCTTTTTCTTCTTTTTTTTTTCATTGAATTGAAAATTCCATTTGTAATTCTTAATTATTGAATTTCTTTCATTTCTTCATTTACTATAAGATAAGAGATTCTTTACTTTCACTTTCTATTTCTAATTCTAAGATTGAAGATCAATATGAATATATATTGGGTGTTATATACTGAGTACTAAGACACTGTAGTCTCTGATTAAAGACAAAAACCAATGCATTGTGGCACCTAAACGCAATGCCGTGACATTGCACGATGGCTTACAAACATAGAGTGAAGCATTGCGACATTCTAAGGCTAACCCCACAATATTGTGAGTCTATCGGGATAATTTTTTTTCTTGTTTTTCATACATAACTTGAAGGGTAGCATCCCTTGGCGTAACGAGAGTGGTAGAGAACATGATCTGTACAACTTCTTCCACTACATAATGAATTTTTTGATGTGATATTGCTCCATGATTTTTTTCCAGTTTCAGATTTTGCCAAATTAAATCCCGCGCGATGTTCATTTCCATTCTTTTCTTATTTATTTTGTTGTGTGTTTTACTTCCTCAACACGCTTTCCAATCACATGGTCTTAAATTTGAGGCCACAAGAAGTTTGCAATTTAGACTTCCTTTTGGGATGACTTTCTTTTTTTAGTACAAAAATAAAATTTATTTTTGTTCTAGAAAGCTGCTTTAAGAAGCATTAAGAAAGCCGCCCCAAAAGATGCCATAATTTACTTCAATTTTTAAAAAGTAAAAAAAAAAAACTTTTAAAGATGATGCATGCATCATTCTTGAATATTTTAGGCAAATTTAACAAAAAATACAAAATTAATAGTCCTATATCCTCAATAGACAAAAACGGCTATAAGAATAGTTGCACCATACATTCATAATAAATTGGCTCTATTTAAAGGCCTATTACACGTTTTAAAGCAATTTTTGTGTGTATAGTACATTTACAGAGTGGAGATCATGTTCTTGGCAACATCCATTTTATGCTTGTTTGGTGATGCACAACTGGAATGCTTAGTTTTCTCTTCGATCGACCCCCTCTTTCTTCTGTAATAGATCTGTTGCCTCTCTAATCAGAAAAAAAAAAAAAAACTTTTTTAGATAATTGATATAAATATTGCACTTGAATAGTATGAAGAATCTGCAAGCAAGATCTCAAAAAAAGAATTGGTAAGGCTTAGGATTGAAAGCAACCGCTGGCCCTCCCTATGCCACTAATAAAGGTAAAATAGCTATAAGGAGAGGATTAATTATTCTGTGCGGTCACTGACGCCATTCGTAGATCAACCAGAATACGCCACATCACTCCATCGCTCGGTACTGCTGACGTGGTGCAATATGGTTAGTCTCTGGATGACGTTCTGCTTTCAGTCTCTGCACAAAATAATTTATGTAAGGAGAGGGTCCTCTTCTGAGAGAAATTATTATGCGCGGAGTCCGGACGGAAAACCGTCCAAGTATGTGAGTGTATACTTACCGTACACAGTATACACACACTATATGTAGAAGGTTACCGATCTGAATACATAAATTCCTGCATCAAGAAAATTAGAGCAAAGCAAGTAGTGAAGCATAAATGATCACAGAGAAATATTTCATATCTTCCATAGTTTCATCTACAGTGAACAAGTGGTTTTAAAATGAGGAAGATGACAGGCCGTTAATGAGCAACGGCTGAGATTGATCATGGAGCATAGCATCAGACGGCTAAGCAGAAGAGCCTTTTTAAAAAAACTGTTGGGCATAAACCGCCTGATCACAATTACGTACTTATCATTTAGCACTATATACAATCATAATACGGTCAATTCTTTCTGTCCGGACTCTGCATAAAATAATTTCTCTTTTTCTAGATCCAATATCCTAATTCAAAATAACTCAGATTTTAAAGTAAAAAAAAAAAACTTTTTATCTCTCAGTGTGGTCACTTTAGGAATTATGAACCTTATCTACTATGTATTATATATTAATGCAGGGCTTAACTAATAAAGCGAGCTACGATAATCAATTGAGCAGACAAAGGATATTATTATTTGCTTGTAATAAAATGTAGTTCATTGAAGTAATTAAGGAAGGCCTATAAAAATTATAAAATACAATATATATGATAAAAAAAAGGAAGGCATATAAATAATTTATTGTATGGGCGGGCCAGCTATGCAATCAGTAGAGCGCAGCTCATAAGAAAGCGAGTGGCAGAGTAGCAGCAGACCTATTATTATATTTGGCATGACAGAAGCAGTTTAACTACTCGATCTATAATGGAACCTAAAATACAAACATTATTGTGATTGAATTGGAATAAGATTGCCAGTTTTTAAAGGAAAATTTAAAGACGAAAAAGATTGATGAGTTTTTGGAAAACGTTGGACCCAAAAGAGCCTTTAAAAGTTGAAAAATTATTCTGTGCGGATAATAAATGGCATTTAGAGATCAATTAGAATGCATCACGTTACTCTTTTGTTGTCTACCGCGGTGTGGCTGCACCTGATTCGTCTACGAACTTAGAGCTACGTCCGGCCTCCACAGAATAATTTCTCTTGCATTGTTCGTAGTGCCAAAGCAAGTTGTTTGTGCGATAATCTGCTCCACTTTCAGTAATTATATGAACAAAATCTTAGTCAATCAAAATGGATCTGCTCGTATTTGATTCGTTAGTTATGATGGAACAATCATTCTGCTTTTGTAGCTGTAGGCGTTGAGTGAAGAAGAGGAAGCAATTAATTGAAAAACTGAAGAAAAAAGTTATGACGGAAAATTTGTTTGGCAAACTTACTTTGGCACTTACTAACAATGCAAGGAAATATTTTGATTCAGTTATTAAAGGCTCCTTTGGGTCCAACGTTTTCCAAAAATGCATCAATCTTTTTCGTCATTATATTTTCCTTGAAAAACTGGCTATCTTATTCCAATTCAATCAAAATAATGTTTGTATTTTAGCTGCTATTATAGATCGAGTAGTTAAACTGCTTCAGCCATGCCAAATATAATAATAGATCTCCTGAATGGGGTCTGCTGCCACTCTGGATTGTTGAGTTTTACCAACAAGCAGTCATTCTCTGCCATCCAAAGGGGGAACAAGAAGCAATCCGATCATCCTTGTCCAGAAAATTGCCAACCACAGTAGCAAAACAACTGAGCCAAAATAATCTGAAGTAAAACCGAGCCGAAGAACAGTATAGAAGTTGCCACATTAAAACACATTTCAAGTCAATAGAAATCCCACGCATAAGAAGAGCATCTGCAGTCTTAAGGCCACCCAATACCGCCATCCAACATTAGGAGGAAAAACGTAAAGCAAAACATTTGTGCCAAACAAAATATTGCCAAGAATGTGAATATCATACCTATAATAAAATTCATGAAAATCTTTGTAACTTCCGCTAATATCATTACCCCAGAGCAAGCAAGCATAATAAGAGCCAACGCAAGGAATCACATTTAGAGACTGAAGAAGAGAATCAGAGATTCTAGTAGGCAAATCCCAACCATGATTCATAAGAATAACAGAAATTGTAGCATTGGAGGGGAAGAGAATAAGAACAGTTAACAGCTCATTGTGCTCCTTCAGCGTTTTGTTGCTAGCCGATCCAATGATCCCAGTAGAGAGAAATAGGTGAGTTATGTGTGATATTAAAATGAAAAAAATTCTTTAGCAAAAGAGGCATCCTTACACAGGTTTTTTCAAAAGGAAGTGGCATAGGTGTTTAGAAAATTTCATTTTTAGAGCTAATTAACAATGATGAAAGTAAAACCTCACCTTGTGAGTGCTTAATTAGGTGATTAATTTGATGCAGACATCCGATGGTGGATGTTAATCAAAGGAAGAGACGAAGATCAACAATCAAGACCCCTC